TATGGAGGATTTTCCATGTTTCCTTTGTATTCAAACTCTGCTGGTCCTTTGATAAAACAACTGCAGTGGTGGAGCTGTGGGACATTTTCAGTTTGTTTTTGCATACACTTACCTGTTCTGTATGCTAACATCAAGTTTATATGTTTAAGTTGTCATGATGAGACAAATATTAATTATTGTGGTGTTTTTTGATATGGTTAAAAATAATTATTTCAACACAAGAATGAACACAGGACCGGAACATAAAATCAGCAAAAATAATACAAAAATCATTTATGGAAGAGATCACTTGAGTTTGAGTTTGTCCACAGCTCTGCTCCAGATGTGAAAGGTTAGTTTAGTCTTGTTGGCAAAGTGAGGTGAATGGATGTAGCAGAAATATAACAGAAATATAACAGATGCGCTTTCTTAATAACATTTATTTATTTGATATTTATTTATTTTTCAACTAAGAATTTCCCATTGTAGGATGAAGATGACGCAGAATATGAATGAAAAAGAATTTAAAGAAACATCCACACAAAATAATTAGTTTCGACCAGGTCTAAGGGGTTTTTAAGGCATAAAAATCAGGATGAGCAGGTCTTATTCACACTGTTTCTTACAGTCTATAAAGATGTGCTGAACATTTCATTTAATAAACAGTTTTGATCGGTTATTGTTACATCCCTTGTGAGTAAGACTTTGAATTCTGTGAACTGGAACTAATTTATTGCTTTGTAGCATATCTAGACCACTGAACACAAGATAAGTACCTCACTATCATAAGCTTATTAAAATTGAAATGTGCGTGATAACAAACACTCCAATTACCTTGAAAGGCACTCCCATGCTCCTCTGATGGCCGAGCGTCCCGGATCAAATGCTCTGGTCTCTGTCACATGATGAGGCACTGGGCAGACAGACTACACGCCGTGGTCAAGCACAGGCCAGGGGTGAGGGGCAGGCCAGCCGCACAAGGGGAGCTTTCACTGCTCGCTGCTCCGCTACTTTCCCATTGATATATTACTATCGACATGTGTTCTCGTGCCAGCCATTATGAGCCCCTTTGCTCTAATCGTTCACCTCTAACCATGCTAATAGTAGGATTTTTTTTAATAATAGATTTATTATTTCCCATGACAATATTCAGTGTTGTAGAGCTTACAATAATATTATTATCGCAATAAACTTGAAGCTTAATCCTGTTATAGTTGATTGCATTAATGAAATTACAGTGATTGCATTAAAATTAACACAGGGTAAATTACAAGAAAACACACACAATAGGCCTTGAGTGCTGGCTTTATTTAAAATCATAATGGATCACAATTACCAAAAGTGCACTGTAAAAAAATGCATTAAGTGAAGTTGCTCTGAATGCTGAACAAATACAATTATTGTTGACCTTGCAAAGAGTGAGATGAAAACAGCGTACACAGAGAATGGAGCCCATTTACTGTTAAGGCTGTAATTAAGTGTTATTGAGATTGAGGCACTTAGTAGTTTGTTGCATCGTGTTGTAAGTAATGTAACTTAGTTTATGACGCTCTTTAGGCTCGAGAGGCAACAGTTGTGATGCGGTAACATATTACCTTCAATCTGTTGCCAGCGCTTTTATACTTGTGACACACTTCAGAAAGCTACAAGTGTCAATATAGGCTCAGGTAGTAATTGTAGTAATTTATTTTTTCAACCCTTTGTAAAAAGCAAACAGAATACAAAATATATATAAACTGCAATACACAGGTTGGTGTTAATTTCCAAGTATCTAGATGATCTTAGATGACCTATTTCTAATATGGGTCCCCCTTCAGACCAGTGGCAGAGGCCCCTGTTCTCAGGATTCCTCTGGTCAAGGGACGCACTGAAGGACAACTAACACAGTTAATATCTTGAAGAAGTCAAATGTGCATTGATTTCCTCATCTTTAATGCAATTAGAGTCATTCAATAACAGTATTTTATTAAATAATTATATGATACACAATCAAAGCTGTTTTTCTTCCATTTTGCTAAACTGTGGATAAAGTCGTGCTCATGGTCTGTTAATGGTTTCACTTTACACGCAAGACGGAGCCAGAAGTCACCCCATCGATCGTGGCATCTTTTAAAGATATTACTTTGATTTGTGGCACAGCTGAGGTAATGCTCTCTCGCCCTTTCTCTTTTCGCCTTTAGTGCCTAGTGAAACCTGGTCATTGGATCTTCTCCCTCTAAATCAGCGCTCTTAGCTTTGACAACCTCCATTAGGTTCAGCACACTTTGGCTATTAGCGGGTGGGGAGGACGTATGGCTGTTAAGGGTCTATTTAGAGTGTCTGAGAGTGCAAGCAGAGATTCTGTGTTCTGTGTGAGTGTATGTCGGGTGGGATCTACGCCTTCTTCTTTTTCCCCCAAAACCATCCACTGTACAGTGGTGGGCGGAGCTTTGTGTCAGAGTCATTGCTGGGCCACGGACTCATCTGCATATTGGCACAGCGACGCCCCCCTGGTGACCCTGAACCGCGATGGGAGATGGGATAGCAGGGTGGAGAGAGCGCAGAGAGGCTGGCGGCGCTCCGAAGAAGTTCACCGCCAGTTCAGGGTGAACGGCAGAGCACTACTGCATTGATCGCTTCTTTCTGCAACAGAGAGAAAAACAGCACCAGAAAATACAAGTAGAAGAAGTGAGATACTGATGAGGAGAAAGGGAAGGGAGTGTATATGAAGGAGGTAGTGGAAAAAGGATCAGAGCGCCTCAAATTGGATATAAATGATAGATTAGAGGTCTGAGAGGGCTGTGTCTTTGTTTTCCAAGAATGGGTGTTATGTTGTGCTTGACACAGGTAGCACCGTTACCAAGAGTGCAAGGTTATTGACTCCTGTGATTGCCAGGCCAGTAAATTTGACCCAAGGCGCATGCGAGAGGTCTGTTGGTTTTATAGCTTCGAGAAACGATCGAAATCCCTCCTTACATACTCGTACACACAAATGACACACGCACACAAGTACAAACCAGGCACACGGATGGACCCATTGACCAAAAAGCAACATTAGCCACAATCCTCCACAGAAACACACTATCTCCATTAATGCGCTCAGGCAGGGGTCAATCTAATAAACATAGGGTCAGTGCGCTGGTCAGCCGAGGCCCGTCTATGGCAGCAGACCCTCTAAGGTGCTTCCTAATTGTATCCCTGCGGCCTTCTAGTCTATCTTTTTATAGCCAGCACCACATACGCTGAAGGGAGAGAGAGAAAGGGAGGAAGGAAGGAAAATCCCCTGAATAAAAGTCTGGGGATAGTTCTAAAAGGCTTTCTGGTAAAGGTCACATTTTATTTGCTTGCGGTGTCTATCAAAACCTTCTAATTTTATCATAATAAATTAGCTCCATAGGTTGACTAAATGCTTGATACATTACTGTTCATAAAAAGAGATTATAATTTCTGACAATGCCATACCCAGACAACAAAGGTATAAAAGTTAAAAAAGGCTGAAGCACCTTTAAGTGTTCAAAAAAGCACTATATAAGTATGATGTATTGTTATTATATATAATACCACATATAATCCATGTAATTTCATTCTCAAAACAGTCTCTATTTTTCACATGCTTGTATTTTTGGCCCCATATCTGATCATCTTTATCAGACTGAACTGTGAAAAAAGAGGGCCACTCTCACTCGGCCAATCAGCTCTCACCCCAAATGTCTTATAGAATACTTATTTTTTTTAAAAGAAGATATTAAGACAGCATGAGTCGTAAAACATGCTGATTTATAAAAAATAAAAAAAAATTGTTCAGACAAACTAAATTTTCTATTTAAGAATGTAATTAAAAGTTAGATACCCCAGCTTTAAAATACAAAATATACAAAATTAAGGATTTTACACCTGTAACAAGGCTTTATCTGGTATATGATAAAGCTGCTATCTTTTATCAACCCTACACTTTTTGGAAGTATGAAGGTTCCTGGAGTTTGGCTTCGTTCTTTTGCTGGTCTTGCCGAGTATCTGAGATGATAGTCAAAGCCAAGGACATTATCTGTTAGAATTTTGAAGATCGGTATGGTGCAAAATTTAGCCCCAAGCTTCCTGTCCAATGACATGCAAGGTGTTCAGTGGCACGCCGGTTTAGCTGGCACACTGGGTGAACATAAAAACGGCCTTTGAGTGTGCAACCTATCCAACCAGAGTGCTGCCCAGTGATACGGCAACCCCTGATGCAGACAGGAACCTGAGGCGAATGGACCAGATTTCAAGCTCCAGTGTGACCCCAACTTGGGAACAAGCTAACCTGGAGGAGGTCAGCGGGAAACCCAGTACCCCTGCCTCCTGCGTACCGCTGTCGGACCACCTGATACGGCCGCCTGCTGCAGCCTCTCCCCAGCTCTGTCTTCACTTTCTTCAATCAGCCCTTTAGAATGAATGACTACCGCTCGGCTGGTTTTGCTTAGGGAGCCTATTGTGCATAACTCTGGTTTTGTCCGAAGCTCTGAAATGGAAAGACGGGCATGCGTTGGTGTTGATTTTCAAGTATCCGCTTAGATAACATATTAAAGCCTTTCCCATTGGGCGGATGGGTCAGAGGCCCTGATGGCTCTCATGATTCCTGTGGTCAAGGGATGCACTGAAGGACACCAACACACAGTTTAGTCAATACCTTCAGCTTATGATACAGATAAAGAGAACGCACTCAAGTTTTCATGAATACAGCTTTTACATTGCAGAAAATGATATTGTGTACATTTGCAAATTGAATTAATACATTTTTATCTTGATTTTAGCATAGTTTGTTAGTCTTTAAACAAGATTTGACATTGAACTATGTATAATTACTTAAATTAAGACTGAAGCTATTTCAAACTTTAAATGAGAAAAGGTGCTTGATATAACAAACTGGTTGTTCCATTGTTGACATTGTTTTAAGACAGCTATATACTATAATTAGGATTTTTTTTTTCTGTGCTGTTTTAGTGCCATTCTGAATAAATACTCTCTTAATAAAGTTCTGTGTTTTTTGTGTGTTTGCATTCACATAGGCACAGAGAAGCACGAACTGACTTCTTGGACAAGTTTTGCCTCCATCTTTCGCTTCTTCAGTGAAGTCCTGGAGGCGCTGGAGTACGAAGAGTCGCAGGAGACCTCCAACATTGTTACCACCCGCAGTGGCACCCACAAAAGCAAACACCAGGATTTATAGAAGATCAACAATGGACTGGGAGGGCTCGGTCCCAGATTAAGATCGAACAAAGAAATACACCTTGCATTTCTATTCTCTCCTATAATCTCTCTATATTTCCCTTGAATGTCTCCCAGGCTCCAAGCACAGTGCGTCTTGCTGATGAGAGAGCAAAAGAGTACATCAGGTATAAATCACAATAACGTTTTGCATTATTTCTAGATGAGTGGAACTGTCAAAGCAATATGAAGCTGAGGTGTTGGTGCTTCTGTGGCCGTGGACCGGAGCTGCAGAGATTAAGGCTGACAGCCGCTGTGCACTGCGCGCTGGTGTGCAACTCTAATTGTCCTGACATGACACTGGACTGAGCTAATGGCCTTCTCGCTCTCCGTCTGAAATACTCTATACGCCTGATCCTTACTGCTGCGCTCTGCTCCTGTATACCAATATCAATGCAATGCTGTTTTTACATTTTTATTTTTTTCCCCCTAGATACCCATTGTAACTTGCTATGGGAATACATCTTATCACACACACACACACACACACACAAGACGACAAATGTTTTAATCATATTTTTAAGCATCATAGATTTTATACCTGAGAAATTATGTCTATATGCAGTATATCACAAACATCATGTGATTTAAAAGCAAAATCCTCAAGTTGTTCATCTGATTTTTAACTCATGTTTTAAACGATTTATCAAACTGCTATTTATACTTGTCAATTGTGCTACACTATTTGTGATTTTTTTTTTTTTAAGTTACTTTTCTATCATTTGATTTGAAAAAAAGAAGGTTTTTAATGCACATATGCAACTCTCTAATGTTTTGTGAGCTAAACCCTATGTAATTACGTTGCCATCCCTGTTTGAAAGGACAGAATATGAAAGTCCATCAATGATCTATGTATTTCTTCACTTGCTCTCTGCGTTATTGATGTGCAGGGTTCATTGAATGTGATGAGACAAATAAAACAAACCTATCCTGCGCTGAATATGAAACATCACGAGCATGAAGCTTATTTAAAATCACTTAAAATCAAGCATCAAAATAGCTTTGAGAGATATCTCATTTTTACAGGAGCCAGAAGTCTGCTCACAGCCCTCATAAATCCCCACTATATCCTCTATATCGCCTTACACATGTCACAAAATCCAAGATCTCTATATTATTCTAAGCCTGAGTGATATTTCCTTAGATCTTGTGAGTATAACATATCTTTTCTCCCCCTTTTTCTTTCATTTAGACCTGACAAAGTAAAGCTCAGCTCATAATCTGACTTTGTGACACAAACACACTTTTTTTCCCCCATAATGCAGTTTTATCAAACACTTGAGGCTAAAATATTTCATGACATTTGGAAATCTCCAACTGGATAGTAAATCTTTGGATACCTAAGACACGTTCTCAAATATGTATTTGGCACTTGTTTAACTTTTTCCACTGCGTGCGCCTGCCTCTGCTGCCCACTGCGTATATGGTTTAAGGCTTTTGTGGATTATCTTTCCGCTGTAATGAGACAACTGTGGCTGATGGTTGCAGGCCTAATTTCCTTTTAATTTGATTCGGATCTCCCCAGGTTTGAGCAAAGACATTGGCTTATTATTTGATTTGATGAGTTTTGTTTGCAGAGATACCATTGCTCATCTTTCAGCTTTTTAGCTCCGAACCACGATTGGTTCATTTTTTCCTGTTGTAATTTGTACATTGTTGCCTTAGGAAACAACACATACTCACTGTTTTTAATAATAGAAAGCCATATGCGAATGAATGAGCAACCAAATCTGACACACAAAAGAAGAAGATTCATTGGCAGATGCTTATTATCATTTTTAATATAACAGGTTCGACAATGTGCAGGTGTTTGATTGATTTTTGTCTTATTTTCTGTTTGTTTTATTATTCTGAAATATCAGTTTGAAGTTGCCCTGATGCTTTCCTTCAGTTTGTTCAAACTATTAAAAGAACTTGTGAAAATCAAATTGCCTTGTGTGTGCTTGTCTAATAAACCCTATACGATTCATTATTACATTATTTTTACTTAATAAACTTTTTTCCAGACTAAGAAAGTTTTTCTGGTTAAAGTTGGGAAAGTATACCAAGTGTTCAAAACTATACGTATTGATAAAACTGTTCATTATACTACAAAATAAAAAGTTTTGATTCAAACATTCAGTGAAAGCAACCAATCAACAACTTACGTCTTTGGTCTTTGGTTTTTGCGAGTGCGCGTTCATCCATTACGCACACGGACCATTAGTATTCACGTGCTCAAAATGATCAGGTCATTAAACGCCCCCTCAATAAATCTTTAGAAATCTTCACCAGCAACTTCTAAACAACAAGTGCAACCAGCCGCGTCCGCCCGGCTCCGTGTCAGCCTGCTGATTAAAAGATCTATTCACGTGAACAGGAGCACAGCAAGCCACCAAAATCCACTTAAGAGGCCTGGAAAAGTGTCCTGCTCAACTTACAAAGGTCTGCCCAGTCTAGCTGAAAGTTTGTGAAATAGTTCTTTTCGGTCCAACTCTTAACATTTTGTATTCATATAATCCTATCTGTTTTGATTTGACTATAACGAGCGCAACAGATAACCGCTCACGTTATACTTGATCTTACTTGATTTCAGCCCATTTCACCTCAAATGTTATAAAAGTTAAACAAAAGGGAATGTGATGACGCGCCCTTCAAGTTAAATGTCAATATTTGCTCATGTGACATCACTTAGAACGTCGATAAGCCGCGACATGTCATAGCCCAGAATGCACCCAGAATTATATTACTCAAAGCAAATATTCTTTCTGTGCCGCTATCAAGTTATAAAGAACTTGGGTCATTATCTTCAAATGATTGAAGGGGGGGTAGAGGCCTAAAATGGTGGAGGGACAGGACCACCAAAATAGGGACAGGCGGTGTCTTTATTCAAGGGGCTACGTTTGGAAATATTGTTAATGCGTCTTGCGTCCATCAGCTCCTCGCGTGTCTCACTGTCTTCTGGATGTGACGCTGCTTGGCGGTGGGTAGAATGTGTTTGACATGTATAAAGTAGTTAGGTGGAATGCGGTGATATTTGAATGATTTTTTTAAGGAGGATCGTCGTCACGCTTGCCCGCCCCGGCGCGCTCTGATACGCACCAGAAGATGAACTCTCCCCAAAAGAAACAGGCGCTGAGCAAAGTTGGAATGTCACCCTTCTGACAGCCCCCTTTTACGCACACGCACACTACTCCAGAGGATCACTGTCAGATCTCTATTTGCATAATTATATGCTCAGCTAAGAAGAGAAAACTCACCCCCAAATTTTACGGGTCAGCAAACTGCAACAATCAATGTTCTAACGGGTGTAACTAAGAAACTTGGAGAGAAGAAATTATGCCGGGAACTCTCTTGTTCTATGAGTTCATTATTGGCGTGACTGCTTAAAACTATATGTTCTCAAAGTTAGAAAAAATATATATTAGCACCCTACCCCCACTAAAGCGCGTTCCCTATTCTTTGAGCAAATACTTTTCATGTGGCCCCATTGACTGAGGCAGAATGTGCTTTAAGCTCATGGTGTATTCAACATTGTATCCCTTCTTTATTTGCGGCTCCTTTTCTCTCTGCCTCGGCTTCTGCGGGCTCCAAGTCTTTAAAATGAGAGGCCCTTATACCACTGGATATAACTCGCTGGTTAGACATCATTACATATTCATTGACTTGCACAGAAAGCCATTTATTCCAATAGCAACAACTCCTCTTCAATCTCCCTTTTCCTAATAAGGATCCGCAAACACTTTGTGTCCACACCAGCACATTTGGTGGATATTTTTTGCATTTCGACCTAGTCACAGATGCAAGAGGGTCTCAGGTGGAGAGACACATAAAGAATATAGCGAGGCTGTGTGGTTTTAGATGTACCCCTCCAAACGCCATAAAAGTAGACCTCCAGACCAAAGAAAGAGCACTGTGATAAATGCAAGATTTTCTTATCCAAAACTACAGTCCATGACCCACCACCTGTGTCCCATAGAAAAAATGTAGGCTATAAGCAGTTTGTAGATGAAACACCAGCGAAAGTCCCCAGGTTCTAATAAAAAGGGAAGAGCTTGTGGAGAAGCGAAAAATGCCTTTGGAAACCACAAAACCTCAAAACACAGACCTGAATCCTATGGGGACATGACTAAAATACGACTATTAGATCAAGCTTTGAGTTCCCCGTTCTGTCTAATGCTTTTAAGTGTCCACTATGTCAGCAACCTGGCCCTAATATGTAAGTGTACGTGTGTTGTTCGTGGCATATATAATAGTTGGATTGTGGGACAGCTGTTGGCAGAGCCGTTTTACGGTGTTCAGTCCATTTGGCTTTAATAGCAGCTTTCAGGCGGAGCGCTACTCTATCCCCTGACCGCCCCCTCAATTACACCTCCTCTGATACTGCGCTGGCCCAAGACTCCGCAGTAAAACACCGCTCTGAAACGCAATACATTTGAAGAATGGACTGTGACTTTTAACATTCACAGGCTGCGCTCTGTGATCATCCGGGGAAGTGAAGGAGGCAAGGGCGCAAACGAATGGCCAAAGTGACGACAGTGTTTTTAAACTGGGATGAATTGGGCCTCTAGGCCTCCTCCATAAATATTAGTCCACTTTCACATCTTTTTGCGAAGTCTGTGTATCTCGATTAAGGGGGATGAAAAAATACATCAGTCGCCTGACAATATTCAGTCTTGTGAAATGATTTTGGAACTTATTTTTAAAAAAACATAATGCTAAATAAATAAGCTGTGGGCACATAAGGAGTTTTATGTGTTTGAGTTTTTTAATTGTTAATTTAAGTTTTATCTTTTAGTTTTCTGTTTCTCTTTATGAGTCTTTGCAAACTTTAGGAGTATGTCATATGTATATGTTACGCTATATTTTTTCCAGCCTATACAAAAAAAAGGCCGGTTAAGGTTTAAAATGATGACATATATTTTGTTAAAATTCTTGGCCTCGGTGAGTAAACATTTTCATAAAGAATGAAGTCAATAAATGTATTCCCAAAATGATTTGTGTAAATGAAGAAATAACCTTATTTCTTTTCTTTTTTTTTGAAGCTGTAATGACTGTAATCTGGTAAATTGCAGAATAATGCAAAGGCTTACGGCACAATTTATTGGAGCCATCGATTAGACCTGTCTCACGTAAGGACTCATGTCGAATTCAAAGATGAAACATATTTTATAAACACTGATATGAACGCGCTGCAATATTTCAACACTTTCTGTAATTTGACAATATAAACAAAATATGTAAATTATATTCAAAATCCCACTATAGCAAATATGTGTGTATTTGCGTAAAGTCAAGTTCTTTAAGACTTGTTTTTCATTCTTTCTTTTTTCTTTTATTGATAATTGTATTTCTTTTCCGGAGCTTGAGCCTGTGCAGTAGACGTTATATTAAAGCACACATTATAGATGAGTTTCATCATGTGGATGCAGCCCTCGGAGGATAAACACGCTATCCGGCGCGTCAGGGAAAGAATATCCAACAGTCAGGTTATTACAGCCGAGATGAGAGGCCTTTTGGAGGCTGCACTCTGCCTTTTCATTACGCACAGCCTCCAAAAAAGAGATGAAGCTCTAAATGAAGTTATTGCCATCCAATGAACTGAAATTAGCCGGGCCAGAGCGTGACAGACAGCTCGGCTTAGAGGGGTTAGAGGGGATGCGGAGATGGAAAGATACATAAAGGTGGGGAAGATTGGCAGATACGTTGTGATGTGCATTTCATGGTTTGGCAAGGCCCAAAAGTGACGTCCATTCAGGGATATACCGAGTTAAATAGTTAATAATGTCCACGTGTCATTTAATAACCCATAGTTTCCCTTGTGTGTTTTGTTCTCAACTCTTTCAAAGATAGTTTTTATTTCCTCCTCAAAAGCCTCTTTCTCCTCATTGTGTCCGCTACCTGAGTCAGCAGAGAAGATGAAAAGCAGCTCCGTGGACACAGAGAGAAGAGTGGGTTTACCTGTCTCTCTGCTGGACCCGGCGTGTGTGTTGGTGCGTGCGTGCGTGCGTGCATGCGTGCGTGCGTGCGTGTGCGTGTGCGTGTGTGTGTGTGTTGAAGTTAACGCTCTACTTTATTGCTGTTTATCCCTGCAGCAGAAGCTGTCAGCCGCTGACAGACTGGCAGCACCTCTAATCAGTGCCTTCTTCATCTCCTCTCTTCTTCCTCACTCCCAGTCAATCATTGTGGATCTGTTTCCAGTGCACTGCATGGGAGAGTTTCCCTTCGCCTCTATTATAGACACATATAATCCACTTTTCTAGTAAAAGTGTGCCTTTAAAATATATGAAATATGTGTTATTATTTGTGATTTTATTTTATCATTTTTGGCAACCAGAACTTGAATACCTTGTTTTGGATTTGTAACTTTACAATCTACGTATTTAACAAAAAAGAAATAAAGGAAATCAGACGACTGTCTAAGACCTATTATTTTCTATAATACAAGAGTCAGCAGTATCTGTGAGGAAAACAACATATAAGAGAAGATTCCATGGCTCAGTTTGCTCCTAAATCAGTCCATGACGCGATTGGTGGATTGCTGCTTATCTGCGCGCACTGACCTGTGCTCCAGCCGCAGCATCAGAGGTGTGTTTGGGTGTTGACCTGTCAGGGGGGACTTGTTAGGACTTTAACTCCTACTGCTGCGGTCTCCAGACATCCAGGGGGTGGCATCGATTTGGAACTTGTCTTGTCTAATTTGATGATAACATCCAGGCTGCAGCGACGCAGCACCATGGACAGCGCACTGTCTTGACCTTCTCCTGCTATCAAATTACCCCCGCGTGGGCCACCAACTTTACTGCTGCCCTCACGCAGAGATAGAGATTGGGAGATGTGAGATGTCGCCACGAAAACGACTGCCCACTGGTGCTTTTAGGGATAAACGCAGAGTGGTAAAACATTTGTTGGACTTCACGCAAGTTTATCAGAAACGTTGCATTTTAAAGAGTAATGCATGAAGTTAATTAACAATTACCCTGTGTTAAATAACCACATACATACACACACATACTTTTTGGGACAATTTTTTTTATCCATTTTAATTGTTTTACTCTTTCATTTGACGCTTGCTAAACCAATCTATGCTTGGAATAAATCCTCTCAAATTTGTAGGGAGAGTCTTAAAAAAAAAAATATGATACAGCTTTCCATTTAAACGCACGTGTCATGACTTAAATTCTTGTCACAGAAATAAAAAAATAAACAAATGAAAGTTGTTATTTTAAGAGCTGTGCGTGCCGTGGTAACGAGTCGATTTTGGAATAGCGTTCATTTAAAGTTTAGACAGAAGGCCCAAGGCGCGGACGGGAGGTGGATTTACATGAAGACACACTCCCAGACTAAGAGAAAGGGGAAGAGAAAAAGAAGGCTGTTTGATGGAGCTCTACGGCTTTGAGACAGCTTGTTAATTAAAACCCCAAGAGACGAGGCTCTGCAGCCACCGTCCATATCAGAGCACTGCTAACTATACTGACAGCAAGTTACTTAACAAGCAAGTGCCTCAGCCTCAAAACCTACCTTTCTCGCTCCCTTTTATCACAGGCGAACAGTAAGATATTTTAATTCGTTAAAATCCCAACTGTGCCACTGCAATAACTTGTTTTTTACTTAAGAAATCATGACAAACCTCACTATTTTCTGTCATTCCTCGCGGGATATCACCCAAATGACAAGCTTATGGCTCACAATCCGTATAGGAGCTTAAATGTGGCAAATTTGATTAAGTATAAACGGATAGAAAGGTTGTCAAAATGAGGGAATTAGTCTAGACATCACAAAGTCGTATTCAATTGTATAAAAGCCTATACAGTAGACTTCTCTTCGCGTCTGAACAATGTGTCAAAACAAAGACACGCTCATGGTGGTGTTTTTTCTCTTATTTCTCTGCGCGTTCGCTCATCCATCGCAGGTTGCCGTGCGCGTTGTTCCACTGCATTATTCCACCTTAATTGAACCCATAACCTCTGCTTTTGCCTCTGGAAAAGCTGTGCGCGCGCTCCCATCTCTCTACATGCATGCGTGATGAGAGCTGATGGCTTGTTAAGGCGCAGAAAAGCAAATAGTGCCAGAGCCTTGAACAAACATTGAGATTATGAAGCATCGTAGCCAGTGTGTTTACCAGCATCAGGGAGAATCCAGCTCAGCTCACACAGCGTTAGTGAGGCGTTGGTGAGGCGAGTGCAGGCCGGCGTTGAATGGGCGTCCGTGGGGGTCCTGCAGGTGGACAGCTCTGATCCACAAGCAAATGCATCGCTGATTTTTTTTTTTCATTGTAAAATTGCATTTATTTCCATGTTCAAGTGTATGATATAGAAAGCCTGTACTTTTATACTGACTGTATATTTGTTAGTTGCTGATCTTATAATTATGTGATATTCATTTAAGTATATGCACAATATGTCATTATAAAACCAGTAAAAAATATAAAACCAGAAATTTTGAGTATATGAGCTTTATAAAGACAATTGTTATTGCATTTGTTGTCTATAACACCAGATTGTTATACATTTCTCATTTCACGTGAATTCTCGCTCAATACTTTACTCAAAATACGTGTCTTTGTATTTCCATTTTAAATTTCCCATTATTGAAAATATTTACTACTATTATTATGTATTACTATTTGGGCTTCAGAATGATAGTATAGGCTGCAGGCGCATAAAAACGTTGTTACTTTTTTTTTTTTGACTCACATCACTGCTGTTTTCTTTTATGTATTTTTTGTCTGACAATTTGTCTGTGTGTGTGTGTGTGTGTGTGTGTGTCTGTGTTTCTGTCTTTGTGTGTGTGTATTCGTGTTTGTCTGTGTGTGTATATAGATGTGTGTATGTGTATCTTTATGTGTGTGTGTGTGTGTGTGTTTGTGTATTCGTATATGTTTGTGTGTGTATGTAGTGTGTGTCTGTGTGTATGTAGTGTGTGTGCCTTCATCTATCTATGCATATGTATGTGTATGTCTGTGTGTATGTGTGTGTCTTTATGTATGTGTCTGTGTCTAAGTATGTGTGTATGTAGGTGTGTGTGTGTGTGTGTCTTTACGTATGTGTGTGTGTGTGTGTCTGTGTGTATGTCTGTGAGTGTATGAGTGTATGTCTTGTGTTGCCTTGCCTTGCCTTGCCTTGTGTATGTGTGTGTCGTATATACATGTACGTATGTGTGTTTGCATGAGTGTGTGCGGTTGTGCAGGGGCCGCGGTTTTAAAGACAGCTGTAAAAGGCTCCGCGAGTCTCCGACACATTCATCAACGTCAGCCTCCGACAACACGCTATTTAGTGAAAGTGTAACTGCAGCAGTATATCTCAGAGCAGAGTGGCCACTCAGCACACAATGCCACAAACCAGATTTTTTATTTGCCTCCCTGCTAACCTATCTAAAACACATTATAGTTACTACTTGGATAAGACCATATTTTAATGACCGATGGAGACGTTTAGACGCTTATGGTCCAACCAGATTTACCCCCACATAAATACTTATTGCCAACGACGTGACTAAATGAATTCTCCTACTTCTAGATGTATTCATTTTTTTAGTTTTTGTATTTGTTCTTGTGATTCTGCATAGCTTATAATGACATTACAGTCTATACAGTATTCATCTTTAAGTCTGTATGCGCACATTTTTATAAGCTGGATGTTCTTGTTTTTTTCTGTGCAGGTACAAGTTGAAATCCTTTCGCTTGATGCTGCTGTAAATCTTTGTTAAACGGGGAAAGTGTGTCAGTGCGTTGTAATGTGTGAGCTGAGCAGGAGAGGGCCGCGGGGTCCCATAAGGCAGAGCGCCATCTAGCAAACAAAGAGAGAAACAAACGGTGCTGATGTGCGCGTGTGTCTGTGTGTGTGTGTGTGTGTGTGTGTGTGTGCGTGTGTGTGTGTGTGTGTGTGTGTGTGTGTGTGTGTGTGTGTGTGTGTGTGTGTGTGTGTGTGTGTGTGTGTGTGTGTGTGTGTGTGTATGCGTGTGTGCGTGTGTGCGTGTGTGTGTGTCTGTATGTGTGCGTGTGTTTGTGTGTGTCTTTTGCAACCCTGAAGCACACAGGTGGCTCCACAAATCTTCAGTGCTGCTGTCCATTTGAGTTGTGTTGTCAGTGAAAACACACAGGACTGGGTTGATACTAAATGTGTGCACAACAATGCTAAATGCAAAAAAGTAGCTTGGACGTATCCATCTTGCGTACAAGTTACATTTTTTATTATATATTTTTAAAATAAGTTCCATTCTCACTCCCTGCTGCTTGAGAACTCCTGATGGCTTAGGGCTGATCACAGGGACAAGTGGTGCAAGCAACGGCATATTACAACTTTCACTTTTACTTAATATTATTGATAATGATGAAAGGCTATTTCCTCTGACAGATCTCATGTGACTGAGTAATCTATAGTCACTGTGGAAATGGTGAATTCTGCAAACCTGTTTGAGGACAACCTGTTCTCCGTCTTAATCATTATTTTTAGATCAGAATATTCTCATCTCTGTGCTTATTGTGTTTACTTTCATTATTATTGTTATTATTGGGTAACTTTTTCCGTCAAAACTAGCCAAAAATATTCTATATAAGACTCAAGGACTCTACAAAGAGTGTGTTTTGTGTTAAATCCATCCTCCTTTGTATACGACATTGTGTTGCCTTGTTGGTGCTTTGTATTCTATTACATGTACTTCCACGGTTGGCTGCAGAAAGCCCACCCGTCACAGAATGACCGTACGCATGGAATGGGCCAAGTGAAGATGTGACAGGGCGTATTTGAAGTATGATAAGCTTTGTGGTCCACTTCTTTTCTTCCCTGGCCTCAAATATACGCCGCTTTTAAATAAGCCCCTTTGGCAATCTCACGCCGACTACCCCCCACCACCCCCTGCCACCTTAACAAGAATGGGCGACTGACCTTTAGGGCCCAGTCCACTCTGTGGTCCAGTTTTATCCAAATAAGACCCCCACCATACCTCATACGGTGCCAACAATTCTTTACTGATATCATCAACAGATGCAAATGAATGTGGACAGCTTTGAGAAGGGGGTAGCTTATAGTTCTGCGCGGACAAAACAGCTCTGTGACTTGCGAATGCAACGTGTGGAGAGATTGGAATATTGAATAGCCCGCCACCAGAACCATCTCTTGATTTTTAGACTAAAAAGAACACATTCCTATTCCAGAAATGTTGGCTGCACCACCGAAAGAATAAAATCGCCATTCAAATGAGATGCGTTTATTTCTACATGGCCTTTGAAGAGGAGAGAGAGGTCGTGTCACTCAAAAGAAGGAAAGGGCCACTCCGTTACCCCGCCTTCTCCCTAACTCTGTCCTTTCCCCTTTTCTTTCAACCCCCTCTCCTGCGCGTGCACACACGCACACATGGGCACGGTGCGCCTGCTTTGGGAGCGACACAGAGGCTAGATTAGAGCTTTTAACAAGGGAGAGGAGGCACTTCTATAATCACAGCGGCGGTATGTGGGGCCACAAAGAGTTTGCAACCAGGGCGAGTGGTCCAAGCTCTGAGCAAGTCCCACAACATAGGATCAAAAACGCACAGTACACAGCTACAAGCTGGGCCAAACACACTCAGACGAATAATCTCATTATGGCAATGTTTTCAACGTCCATATGTGTCTCTTTTTTCTATCTACGTGCGGGAATGGCAACGTACAAAAAAAACGTTTTTAATAAATTATGCTGACTCAGACGGAAACAAACACCTATTTATCATTGTGTCTATAGGGGGATATGGGAAAGGAAAGTTGCGCATCCAAAACTTTGGTGAATCGATTCAGACCCTTACACAGAGCAGGTAAAGGTTGAAAATGTATAGACTGTAGTTATTGAATCATTGTCAGTCATACAGTTACATCCAAAACTATATTGCAACATACTGTCATGCATAAATACGTGCCCATGTACAATCCAGCAAGAGGCTCTTGCGAATTTGGAAACTAAAGTCTGGACTTCCCATTATTAAAATTAAACTAAACTCTAATTAACTGTTGAAACATCTATATAATGAATAATGATTGTTTCCACATGAGGAACTCAAAAGGCAACACATGTGTCAGCATGTTTACCACTACATTTAGTATAGTACTGAACCTTAGAAATTACTTTTAAAAAGAGGTTCACATTTTTTTTCTGTCGCAACAGCTTCATTGAAGTAGCATCATTGAAATAGTTTGGAGCATAAACATAAAGTTGAAAAATGAAGTCAAACCTTTTAAAAGTAATTTATGACGCTTTTATTCGCAGAGTTTGGTCAAAGGAGCTGTGACTTCGACTGCTTTTACGCAGGACATCTCAAACTTGGAGTTTATCTTGTAGAATCCAATTTACTTATTAGTTTATTTAGGTGTTTTGCCGCACTTTATCCGCACGTGTATCCTGAGATGAGCCATATTTTACCTACAGTAGAACAATCTACAAAAAGTTAAACTTTCACCATAGAGGATACATTTATTGGAGATGACACACACACACGCGGACGCATATTCCGCCCTCCTTCACATTTTACGTACAGTCCTCCTCCCCTTCCTCTCACACTCCCTCACTTTTCGTTTCAAGTTTGAGAACACACAGCACCGGGCAAACGCGCACTGCACGCACACAAACTGCGGAGGACACAAAGTGAAAGCTTGTCTTACTTTCCTCTTGTTCTTCTTGCGCGTCTTCGTCCATCCATCCAGTGACAGAGTTGACTTGATCCAGTCACTCCTTTACCGGTTGCTTGAAAAGTCTGTATTTTAATGAATGTGGTGTGTCTGCGTGGAGCTTTAGAGGGAAGAGGAGTGCAGATTGAGACATATTGAGTCCGCTTTAAAAGGATCATTTCATCATGTGGGAGGTTGGGACACACAAAGTTTGGACCCGTGACTGGCATTCCGGGGAGACATGCATATTTTAAAAACAACAAAGCAAGACAGAGACCGGGGGGCCCCGGGGTGGGAGGAGAGAAAAAAACTTGGAAAGAAGTTACTATCAGATGAACAGCTGTCACAACTTCAATCCATATTAAGATATAGCCTGAAAAATACCTCAAAATAATCATTAAGCTGCCCGAGTTAAAGCAAACATTATAGTGACAGAATGTGGATTACATATTACATTTGAAATGTTCCCAGTTCTAAAACAATGTTACCTAACACTAAAAACCTTTTATTAGCTGTGATGCATTTCCATGGACTAGTCAACCCCAATCAATGTCTGTGTAATTTTCTCTATTCAAATAATTATTCATCTTTGCCATAGAGTTCCTTTTTCCGACTTTCTTCTACATGATTAATACGATTTCAATATTTAGAGTATGTGTGTATGTGTGTGTGTTTGTGTGTGTGTGTGTGTGTACGCGTGCGTGCGCGCGTGCATGTGTGAAACGCTCGAGTGAGGAAGACACAAATAAAAGCAATGTGACGACGGCAGACAGACATGGGTGTCCAGTGAAATGAAGGGCCAGGGGCTATAAAGACACACGGGTGTGGTGTGGCGTAGAGCTGGATATCTCTGTTAGTTGTCAGCGTTTAGTCCATGGCTGTGGAATGCTAATGAGTGAGGTCTCCCTGCCTTTCTCTCCGCTCTCTCCTTTCTCAGCCCCCTCCTCTCCCTCCCTCTCTCCTTGTGCCGGCAGAAAGCGGATCGATAGCTGACCCAATGCTTTTGGCCAATGCTTTATTTATCTGGCCAGGCAATGATATTATCAGCCTTGAACGTTATATACAGCAAACGTCTTCCTAAATCAACACAAAGAGATCCGCTTACACAGCTATCCGGGCTTTCCCCCCAATCTCTGCCTCTCTCCATCTCTTTCTGCACGCGTGCGTAAACCGTGGCGTTTACGCGCTTTACGCACAGCAGAGGGAGCGCGCATACATGTCTCCAGAATCAAACAGCCTCTGCCACTGCGCAGCCGTATGTTCGGTTGATCCTTTGGCTTTAGACAACACTGTGACGTCTTTCTCAATTTTATGGCAACTCAACGAGGAAGTCAGTCAGTTTGGAGTGATACAACATCCCTGCTTAATGTCTGCACTGTTTTATGCAACAAGCATTACGTGTTATATGGCAAAGTAAAGCACTTATAGCCATTGCCTTTACGCGCTATATGAGACAATATGAGAAATAAGCCGCGTCATACTTCACAGCCCCTCGCACATCTCACACACGCGCACATAAAGGAGACGCTATTTGAAAATGGTTATTGTCTCAAACAGCTGAATTTGTCAAATGTGTCGGAGGAGAAAGAAAGCTCCTGTAAGTGAAATGAAGTGACGTGTAACGCCAATAGGACACATCCATTGCCGTAGAAAACACGACTTGCACAGAGTTTTTGAGAAATAGGTTTCCTGACAACATGGGATAATAAATGTTTCGCTTTCAGACAGATATCTCAAACGTGAAATCGCACCCAGCTGCTTGTGTAAAGCAAACAAATAGCCCCATGTTAGGAGTCCTCCACTTGTGGTTTGATGAATGAAACCAGACAAAGGTAAATGGTTATTTAACTCATTTCGCAGTAACACTTTGGTAACCGGAGTTTCCGAAATTACAGAGGCACAAATGGGGCCTACAGCGTGCCACAAATCCATCTCCCTACCCACCACAGCTCTGACAGGACAGGCCATTTTTTAACCCTTTTCTTTGTGTGTGCCATTCAATCAAACATTTGCCGTGGATTATAAACTGACAAGAATTATGATAAATGCATGTTCCTGTTAATAAAATGCAATTACATGAATATTTAGCCCGCTCATTTTAGATCTTATCACACTTGAAAAATGAAATTCCTCTTCTTTGAGCTTTCTCGTTGAAGACACGTTAATTAGGAACACATGGTACGTTTTGTGATTTGCAGCTCAGGCTTATTTGTTCATGCGGGAATATTCTACTTTATTGTATATCGTTTGAGAATGTATTGTGATGTGTAGCCTCAAATACGAAAGTAAATAGACGTTTAGATGTTTCTTTCAAAAGTAAAAAAATTATAATTAAAAAATACAACCTGCACACATATTTAGGAGGATTACAGGTTTGTAATTTCGGATTATGTATAATGCAACTGAAGTCATCATTCAATGCCATGTTCATTCTCCAATGTCAGAGAGGTATCAGGTGCACACGCGTTTCAATGTAGCTATAGTCGTGACGCACTGAGCCTGATAAACTTCCATTATCGCCTGATGAAAATAAAACTACAGGAAAAGCCATGCCCTTTAACTATAGAAAAAAACTGCAACAATTACACGTGAATGCATCATAAAAACAGAGTGTCTATATTTTACTCCTCTGAGAGTCTATATAGCTCTATAAGTGGAATGTTTAGACGATGAATAAATAAAATGGTGTGAGAGCATGTGAGGACACCCGAAAGAACAACCTATACACACACATGAGGAGCCAAGTAATTAATAGTTTCATAATAACGAGTCTGGACGAGACATGCAATACTGACAAATAAAGCCACGGGGCGCACATCACCCATCCCCCACCCTCAGCCAGATAACAAATATGGCGATATTAGATTCAGTCAGGGCTGCATGTGTATAAGCAGGCTTCCATAGTTATTGCACGTGACGAGGGAGATGTATACAGAGCAACAAGCAGCAACACAGGAATGGCAGCAGTGATGGAGGCGATTGTTCTAATTGTCAACAGCAAATGACAGCGAGGAGGTTGCGGGGTCCGTCACCATGGCCCTGCGCGCACACACACACACACACACACGCACGCACACTTACACACGCTCGTTCCAAGGACACCGAGTGTATGAAAAGCATCCACACGCTGACGACTTATCGATGTACTCATTACAGTGTGAATGCATCAGGCAAAACCAAGGCCGCGTCTCATTTTGATGCTGTCTCCCCGTGCACATTCTCCTCTGGTTTGTCTCCTTACCTCCCCTCCCCTTTAAGTCTCTCTATTGCCACACAACGCATCCCGCTCGGTGTTCATATATCGACTGGCTTATACATGTTGTAAAATACAGATTGATCACAGCAGCTTTGCACCAGGGAGGGCCTAAACCTGTATTTTTATTTTTTTGTTGCTGTTGCCTTATGTGTCAATACATGGGTGAACTGCCATTATGAAGAATGAAGGAACCAGGTTTGGATTGTGAGGGAGATTAGGGGCAGAGCAGACAGCATATAGATGTGTTTTATACATGCAGAGACGTGTATGAGGTTTAATCCCATTTTGTATAGTTTTGATAATCCGGTATTCTCCTTATAATTAAATACAAGGATAGTGATGTGATGTCGACAAGCAAATACACAGTTTTGACGTAAGTGCAGCGGCAAGTAAAGGCGTGAGAAGGAGACATTGTTGCCTGTTTCATTTTTAATAATACAGTTACCATCACACAACTTCATCAACTGACCCTTCTGCAAAAAGCTGCATCATGAAGTAAGCAAATTGAAGGCAACAACCAATCAAATTCAAGAAACAATGAAAAGCGTTTTCGTTCAAGACAAAACAAACAAAATGTATTTGAAATGATATATTAAAAGTGCTTTTGATTTCATGTCTCTCCTTTGCTCGCTCTTGCCGTCCTTTTTCAGTCAAATGTCTTGGAGGTCAATGTGCTGCTGCTGCTGAAGGTCCATCGTATCAATTGGGAACAAAAATAAAAAGTTCAACCATCATCGTTATTGATATTGTCATTGCGATTAGACTGAATCTTATTGTCTAAAATTCTTTATTTTTCTGTTTTAAATTCTCGCTTCAATTTTAATTCTTGGAGAACATATCTTAGACAACATATATCGCACTTATTATAAGAAGCAAAAGGTTATATCAAAAATGATTAGTATAGAATCACAGAAAGCCTGGTTTAGAACCAGAAAAAATACAAAACAGAGAGGTACATAGACACAGGACAATTCTTATAATTGCTTGGAAACATTGTTTTCCTGCTAAGTCTTTTTCTTACTGCGCATAAGATGGTTTTCATTTTATTTGTGTTTTTCGTTTTTTACAAAAAAGAAAAGAAAATAAAGACTAGTATTTTACAAAATGAAGTGTACTGTTCTTGAAGATGTGAGTAAATTTACACAAGTCCGGTTCCAATATTTTTTTTCTGTACATTTCGTATTCCATTTCAGTCCAGAAGACACAAAAAGTACTGCCTTCTAAGTTTATCACAAAAGGTCCTATAGTAGTAGTTCTTGGAGAAGCATGGGTCTGGGGTCTGTGTTTGGTCCATTTACCCCCTCAGCTTGTTCCACCTTCTCTTTAGGATCATTGGATGGACATGTAAGGCCAGTTGAAGCTGCTCCCGGATAATAGCATATCCCTGATGAGGGTTTCAATAGGAGTTTTACCTACCAAGCGGACGAAGAACAGCTGCTCGATTACCGACGAGGACACAGTGCGCAGAGAAGGCAACCGCAAGAGAAGCTTTCCAAAACGGCTAGGCTGGTTCGGGTACTGGCTCCTTACGTACTCCTCCAAAGCGCACTGGGACTTTTCCTGTAGACTTTCGATGTGGGCAGCATCTGACAGGCCGCAAGCGTCTGCGGGACACAAAGTAACAGTAACGTGGTTAGACACTTACATCAAGTACAATTTCACACGTTTATGTTCACTCTACAATCAGGGCGTTGGATTAATATGAGCAATTGTGTCCTTTAGACGAATAGCCTTTAGAGCCAACATTAACAATGCGTTTATTGCAGGGATTATTGTCAATGCTGAGATATAGACACGCCGACCGTTGAAAGTCCCTATGGATAATAATACCTCCCAAAAGTGCACTGTTGGGTAAGAGTAAAACATGCTGAAAAGTCACGCCTCTCTGGTCCAAAAGGCAACATAAATGGCGCTGATGAATCCGAAATTACACTGGCTGTAATGTGACCTAATTAGTCTGCTGTAAGCTGTTAAGTCATTTACGCGCTCGTCTCTCCAAAGACCACTATTGGCCTGTTTTTGACGAACTCTGAAAGACAAAACCTGGTGGCCAATGTGTCGCACGAGGTTAAGTCAACACACAGTGATGCAGAAGTCAGAGGAAACTCTATGTCAACGCACAATCTGCTGTTATCCATGGTTCAGTACGTCACCAACGCGTTCACTTGAGAACCCCAGTCTTAAATGACGCATCACGCACTTGCAGCCATTGTAAGTCAAATCAAATGAGAAAATGCAGTGTGTGGAGCAAAAACAAGGGTTTCTTTCAGCAAACTGTATACAATAGGAATATGTTTGTTCAAAGTGCTTTTAACGTTATTTGGTGATTTTATTCTGCGCTATAACTCACTTCCCCGGGACACAATAACCTCCTGAACCCGGGAGCCTCGCTGCAGACCCGGGCTGATTTACTGTGACCTTTGGGGGCCGGCTGTGTCTTGTGTAGGCTATGCAAATGTTCCTGGGTAAACGCTGAGAAAAGCTTTCAACTTGTAGTTCGAATTAAGTTATGATGAGAATGACTAAAAAGCTTTAATAAAAGTAAAAAGAAAGCTCGAGATTACAGCGAGTCTAACACGTGCACCCCATGACCCCAGTGTAGCCAAAACAACAGCCCATTAAAACGCGCATTTTTTAATAATGACTTTTTTCAGTCAAATCTTGAACAAAGTTACCACATGAAAGTGAACTCTAAAAGGCAAAAGTTCACGGTGGTTGTGTGTTGTATCTACATTCTGTGTGTGTCATGCTTGGTGTGGTCGAATATCCTTTTGTTTCATTCAAGTTAATAATTGTATATTATTTACATTCATTTATGAAAAAGCCCGAAAGTCACGTGGTTTCCTTCTTTTTACACACTTTTGTTGAGCACATTCTGTATTTACACATAGAAAATGTGAAACACACGTTATTTGGCTGCTGCGTGTAATTATGATCTAGAACGAAACATTATGAGCATTAAACATTCATTTTTATAAACATTAAATAATGAAAATAAAGATAAATATTTTGTTGAAGAAAAACCTCTTAAAATAAATTGTATTGTATTATATTACGTTGTTTCTATTGTTAATTTATATATTCGTGTATAATGTCCACTTAATATCCTATAATCAAGCAGCTGTGGAAAAGTATTTAATTATTTTTAAGGAAAATATTACTTTTTATAAGAAATAAAATACAATAAAAATAGACTGAATAAGCATCATAAATAATTGAATTCCCCTTAAAGTAATTTAATTAGAATTATAATGTTATTCCACAATTAAAGCTGCACTAAATAAGTTGTCTTAGTGAGTCCATTTCAAACATGGCACCACTGAACAATCAGAAGGCACCAAACACAAAAAAACACGTCTAACTTTCGTCATTGAAAGTTTGAACATGAGGTCCTGAAGTCAAGCAGACGTCCTTTAGGCTTATGTACTGCTTTCTACCGAACCCACGGGAAAAACAGGAAATATAAATAACCAGAAAGTAACACACCGATGGTCTGTGATAGAGCTCTGACTCAACTTCCATTTTCTGCTCCTCTGCTGTGGATTATTTCCTGCCCTCCCAAGACATGTGTTGGTGCACACAACAGGGATAAAAGCACGCACCACAATGCGTCAGCCGTCAAAATTAATCACCAAGATGGACTATTTCATCTTTACGCACAGTTATCTGACACCTGTTCCAAGTCCATGTTATATTATCGATGTGCCCACCATGGATACATCAAGAAGCCTTATAGGGGACTCTGTTTAAAGAGAGGGCTACACTTAAAATGCTTTTGATTACTTATCAAATAGTGAGTGTGAGTGAACGTGATTTACAACCAGCTGTTGACAGAAAAGCCACACTATCATGACACGCAGCTCGTAAAGACTGCAGGGATGAGCTCGCTGCCTGTGGACATGTTTGGTCACGGGGCCTAATATGTTTGTTGTTTTGTCATATTGACATGTCGAACACCCACCTGACGTGAACAGGACGATGGCCTTAAGGCAGCTGTACTCTGCTGAGTCCACGTGTAGTGTCTTAAGCTTCTCCACTTGCTCCTGGAAGATCCGGATGTGGTCCATGAAAGCCACGACTCGGTCCGCGGACATCGGGGAGGCGTGTAGGCCCGCAGCGGCCAGCAGAGGGGCTACGTGCAGAGGCATGGAGCACTGCGCCGCGTTTAGAACAAATAGCTCGCTCCACGTAAGCCTGAGGAGGGACACCTGGTCGGTGATCTGCAGGTCGGGGAAGAAAGGGATGTTTCTCGCCCACTCCACGGCGCTGAAGAGTAAGCGAGCCGCCAGCTCGCAGATGTTCTCGATGCCCATGATATTGTTAGGCTGCATGCACTGGCTCCCGTAGCGGGACGTGGGGTAAGGCTCTGCCCGCAGCAACAACGAGATGTATCCGGATAGATAGCAGTGGCCGTTCAGGGGGTCCCCGTTGGTCAGCGCGTACTGGCCTGGGTTCGGTTGGGTTGGAGGCATTCTTCCTCGCTGAACCGCTGACAAAAAGAAAGAGAAAAAGAGGAAATGTGCATCCAGGACTGGTAAACATTGTCCATAAGTAAAACAAGCTCAAAGTCAAACGTCAGAAGTCTGATAATAACATCACATATTTGATAATGTATTTCACTGTCTGAATAATGAAACAAGTGTGTTTGTGTTGAAGGGCTGCTATCTAAAAGATAGAGTGTGTCTCCATTTGTTACACTTCTTAATGATAGAATAAAAAGCACGAGTCAAAGTACAATGTGATGATAGATGAATAACAGTGGTGTTTGAAGAAGATCATTATTTCACAGTTTGACCCTTTGGGCGCATGCTGCACATGGACACTGCTCATGGTGCTTGTTTACACAATGCTATTGGTCAAGTGTTTGTTTAAAACACAATTTACAACATAATTATCATCGCAATCCATAATTTAAAAATAAGTAAATGACATTGGCAAAAAGTAAGTAGATGTAAAGAGTTTCGAGTAATTTAAAGTAATCAACCATCCATTTACTATAAATGATCACATGTGAACGTGAGTGTTGCTGAGGCGTGCAACTGCTACAAACAGCAAAGGGAAATTAGCCAGGGAGTTTAGTATTTATAAATGATAAAATGTGGCCGTATGTTGATGTTGTAAAGTAGTAAAGTTTTACGGCCTAAGATGCAGTGAGCACACGAACACTGAGCCTGGTCAAGCTGGAGCAGTGTGTTAAACAGATTACGCCTCTATATTGAGCCTAATACGTGGATTTGTAGTTTGTTGATTGTACCATCAAATACGCAACTAAAACTCATTGGACAACAACCAATGTAAACATGTGTATACAGTCTCAGAGCTTGGGGACGGCTATTGGGAGCACTCTAAACCATAACCACTGGAACCATCTCTGAAGTAATATAACCATAAGTATTGCTGTTGTGGGGTTTGCTTGGTGAGTTTATGCATGCTTTTGCAGAGGGAAAGACAAAATACAGTTTTGCTCCTGCTCCAGAGGCGAGCTACGTTCAAACGCCTCTTAGCTCCTGTGGCTAAACTGGCCTTTTACCTCATTTCAAATACAAGCACTGATTATAACCTTCACCAAAGCCTCCTTCTAAAATCTATGTGTATATTTGAGTTCAGGCCGACTGAAAGGACGAGAGATGGGAGAAACATTATATTTCATCCCCATAAGCCTCCTGCTGCTAAGATGCAATGACTCAGAAGGCTGAAATATACTACAATTTATATATTCACCTTCCCGCCGCATTCCCACTTTTAAACACTTCTTCAGTCGACAGTACTGGCACTGGTTTCGGTGGTGCTGGTCAATGGGACAGTTCCTATTGGCACGACATGAGTATGTTAAGTTCCTTCGTACACTCCTCTTGAAGAAACTTTTGCATCCCTCGCAGGTGAATTGACCATAGTGTTTGCCGCTTGATTTGTCTCCGCAAACCACACATTCAATATGCTGCTGAGCGTTCCCAGAGTTCTGACTGCCCTTCTCCCCGGCAGTCCCCGGTGTAGACGGGGGTCCCGGCTGGCTGGGGGTCTGCGGGGTGTGCGGCGCTGCAGAAGCCGTCTGCTGCTGCTCTCTCGCGGGCTGCGTGGCTGGGTTGGGGCCGCTCGGAGGTCCTCCGGCCACATCTTCCTGCGGATCTCGCCACACGCTAACTACCATTGCCATATCTCGGCCACGGAAAGTGCTATAAAGCGAAATGGTCGCTGATATTAGTGAAGCGCTCAGAAGAGAAAAGGACGGTCTCAGACGGCAGGACAGTCAAAGTCAGATCGGTGCCTGCGCACTCATGTGGAATACGCTGGGTACGATGCGATCAATACATTCAGCACAGCGGGGCGAGACAGAGACACCCGATCAGGATACGCAAGTGTCGGGAGGCCAGTTCCAAGGTAAATTGCAGCCAGCCATTCAGGAATCTCTCATTTTGAAGGAAAACCCGAGTCCAAGCGTGACAGATGCAGTTTGTTATAAAACAGCCACAAACAAACGACGAGCAGAAAAAGCGTCTCCGCTGGAAGACGCGATCCACAGAAGTGCAGCTGCGGAGATAAATTCCTTTCTCTTCTCTTCCCCTTGCTCCTCAACACTCCCGTCTTCGTCGTTCAGGAGAGGAGGAAAACTGAAGCGCTGGAGCTTTTTACATCTATGTTGAGATAAACCTCATCACCTCTCCCGTCTGCGAAGGCAAACCACGTCGCGGAATGAAGTGCCCATGTATAGTTTCTCCTCTCCCGGCAGATACGAAGAGAAATAGACTCAAAAAGATGACGAAAAACAGCAACAACTAATAGAATATGCAAGAAGAAGGAGAGAGCAAAAATGAATGCGCTTAAACGAGAGGACCAGCAGAGCAATGTTTCCGAAACGGGGGATCTGCGCGAATGTCTGTATATAGTGAACTTTGACACTACTATTGAAACTGACACGTTTCTATGGAGATCGCTGCGCCTTATATGGTGCTCATGTCAAGGAGCCAAGAGAGGGGCTGCTGGAGACTGATAATCAAAGGCGACTGACTGGCCAGAGCCCTGCATAGAGGAGGAGGAGAGGGGGAGCGCGAGAGAGAGAAAATGGGAGGCTAAGGTTATAGCCAAGCCCTCTCTTTCTCTCCATTGGTTAGAGTCCCCCTCCGCTTGTGCACTGTAAAAAATGTCATGCTACTGAAGTCAGAGCTCTACGCGGTCCGTATCTTCGAAAGTCAAATTGTTCATTTGAGGAAAAGCCAGCTGAAATTCCATATTAATGTTGTTCTAATGGAAAAGCACGGAGACGCGTTTGAGACATGAGAGCAAAGTTCCATACGCGTTGACACGCAGCTTCATGTTGGTATCAGTCGTCTACATGTTCAGAGCATTAGTGAGAAAATAAGCAATAACACGCACTTGTCCTTTCCCTGTCCAGTTTTCTTAGTTGCGAAGCGCTGATTTGCTTTGGATGTGGATGTTTTTATAGTGTTTTCATCCTCGGCTGAAAGGTTGGGGGGCTCTGACAGCCGCAATCTACACTGAGCTCGCCCCGCGCTGCTATTTACTTTGAAACCTGATTAGTATGGGCCGTCTATTGTCACTAAAAAGAGGAAGAAGCCCTGGATATAATAGGAGAAAAAGCGGGTTAAAGGCAGAAAAGGGGACAATACACTTATACACAAGACAAATCAACTGCACACAACTAGAGCAGGACGTTGATTGAATATCGTCCCCAAAAGTTTCATGCGTGTAGCGCTGTCTCTTTTAGCGAACACGACCGCGTCAGAGCGCGTCTCTGTGTCCGGCGTTTGGCATGCGCACTGCGGTACTGTATATCGTCTTTTCTTCTGGTCAAACTCATATAACAATGTGCATTTTGGTTATAGAGCACGTAAAACGAGGATTACCAGCCACAGACCCAGCTGAAGACACATGCGGTATGCGCATGGTAATCATTTGTCTTTAATATTAAATGGAAATCTATGCTATGGCATGCGTCGCAAGGCGCTAACACGTTATGTGTGGCAATAGCGAGAGTACTGTAAAATCACATAAAGTTCCAGGGGATTTGCTATGGGGATCCCGGCTTTTTGTGCATCTATGGGTAAGCTGTTAGGAAATGTCTGGATCAGGCTGCCATCTAGCGTACAATGTACAATTACAACTACAACTGCTGCAGACAAGCAATAAAATATGAAATCAGTAAAATTGGTTTCTCGATGTGACTGGGTAAAGTAAAACAGCTCTTAACTCCCTGAATTTTAAGATAAATAATAAGTCCACTTTGGTTTCCACTAAATGAATGTCATATTCTTAGAATGCAAAGTTATGCAACATAATCATTGAATTTTCACATTATCTAATCAATTTTACCAGAAAAAACACACGCGCCGTTGTTTACAAAGCTTTTACGCAAACAAAGACATTTAGAGATTTAATATAGTGCAATTATACAAGTGGCTGTTTCCAAAGGCACGGGAGGGATGGGTTGTTTTAAGTATTCAACAAGAGAACTCAACTTGGACACATGCTAAAAACTGCACGGCCGTGTCTTGGACTCTTTGAAAAGGTGAAACCAATAAGATTAAATCGGACAAAGATTTCTTTCCCCTCCGCTGTAAGTGAATCATTAAGATTTAACTCCACAGATTGGGGGAGCTCCGCGGGAGCAGAGCAGAGGAGAGTGAGAGGGACAGCGAATGGGATCAGAGAAAGAGGCTCTAATAGAAGCGGAGCGGCGAGAGTAAAGAAGGAACCGGACAGCACAACATCAAAAAGAGCAGACGCACTGGAGAAAGCTGAGCCACGGAGAAGAGCCACGTTTTACTGCAACACAGGCGTCGTTGGACGTGAGTACGGTTTTACTGCCCTTTACGCACGCATGACTGAAAACGCACGGACCTGTGCGACATGCACATGACCGCTGACCTAACTTTGCCTCAGCACAACTTCTAAACTAACCGACTCCCGCGTATTTTACTGCGCACAGGACCCGTGTATTTTCTTCGGGTTGTTTCATTTTGTGCAGTTTTACTCCAGCGACAACAGGGCGCGGTGATTTTTCCTTTTGGCTCGTAGCACAACGGGTGTTTGTTGTAATGAAAAGATCAATACGAGTCTGTTTGTTTGCGTGATAGTGTCAGTCGATTAAAGAGCTGAACGGGGATAGCAGTGTGTCGTCCTCGCTCCATTCAGAGTAAATAAACGCTTTGCGGGTAAAAGCACTTTTCATGGAAGCAGAATGAAATGTTACATTCATAATTAACCAATAGAAAACTGCTTATATGTTTGCAAGAGCTTTCATGTATAACAATGCTGTATCAGGTTGCATGGACATTTTGTTATTATTGATATCGATGAGCCTCAAGTACTATTTTATTTTGGGAAATTTGTGAAAATGAAGTGAGCCTACAGCATTATAGATTGCATTATAACACGTGCGTTTTCTGGAATGATATATTACAGTGTATTCAGGCCTAATAATTGTCGGTGTTTCCAAGAAATAGGCTATCATAAAGAAACAGCCTGAACTCTACTCAAAGCAACTAACGTCACAATCATTTGGACGAACAGAGGTCAGAAGTGCAAGGCCCCTCATAAAACAGCGACAGAAAATGCGTTCAGGGCATTTACTACAACAGCACAAAGTAAACATGTCCACAACTGGTAAACGTCCTGTTGAGTATTGATCAGATGTAATCACATCAGCGGGTTTCAGTGGAGCAGTGTGCGTAAAAGTGCCCAGACTCTCTCCGTCCACAGACTGAAACTTACTCTATGTGTGTGTGTGTGTGTGTGTGTGTGTGAATCTACACACACTCATGAGGGAATACATTGTGACTCGTTATTAAACATTTCTTAACTTTAATCAAATCCGAATGAGTGTATTTACGCACGGGGGCTTCGTGCAAAGTTACAGGCTAGTCTGATAATAAATGTTGTCTGTTGATGTGCATCTGTCACTTTAACCAATTTCAGTTCAGTAAAAATATTAAACCCTCATATACTATTATGACTTATACTGCGTTGTTTTGTTTACAAAACCTAGTGTGAATGTTCCCAAAGTGTATAGGAACGTATACGTAACATCTGAACTCTCTGATTTTGTCTCCCTTTGCCCCACGTAAGATATTATCTTAATTATTTTATACTTTTTTTGGAGCTGTCAGATTTAGTGTTTTGGAATAGCTGTGTTTTTACAGAGTGCTTAAGAGGAGGAGGGGGCACCATTTCCCACTTTTTGTGCGGATGATCCCCCAATTATTCTGCAGGGGTCAGAATGGTGTGAAAGGGACAAGAAGGTCACTTGAAATCGCTTTTATCCGCTGGCTTTTCCCTCCTCTATGGACCAGCAACTTACAATAGACATAATTGTTCTTAATGGAAAGTCTATGTGCGCAAAATAGTTGAAAATACCATTCCCTAAAGTCTTTTCAATAAAAAAGCGCCAAAGGCTAATTAACGCGGGTAGTTAAGTGCGCGGTGGTTGTGCTTTCTTATCGCCCATGGCTTCTCTGTATGTGGGTGCTCATCCACAAACACTGCTGAAGATTGACGCTTGCTATTTAACCTGAGTCCCCATGCCTTACTTGACATGAAGTTTCCTCTTATTACTTTTAATATGTAGTGATATATCTCTGGGGAGTTTCTTCAGAGTTTGAGCTATAACTAATGGCCATAAGCAATGGAAGGCAATTACACAAGTGTTTAAAAGTGTCGATCACTAATTATTGTTTTTAGAAGCACTATTGTACCTTTGCCATTACGGCAGAAAACACACTTCTTTATTTCTGTGTGCCAATTTATATTTCAGGCTACAGGATACAACAAGTAAAGCTCATTTACCAAATAAGATGCTTTTCTTAAATTATGTACGAATAAATACATAAATAAATAGGCTACAATGAAAGTACACATTTAAATGAAATGTATGAAAGGCAACTTTTCAAAAACATGCATGGGACGATATGCGTAATAGTACCACCTCGTTCCGTCATTTATTTCAGGAAAAGTTTGGGGCAAAGGTGGAATTCTTGTGAAATCAACAGGGATAGAGAGCTATTCGGCACGAAGATCACTTTTCATCTCACCCGTGCACATTTACGGACACACGCAAGAGACATAGTTTATCCCAAATCTGAACATGAACCACTCGGAAACTCTGGTGTGAAGAGCAAAAATATATATCTAAGAAAAAAAAATATACATATGAATATATATCCTTTTCGAATTATGTATATATGTTTCTTCTTTTTTATTGTATTGCACAATTAATAATTTGAAATAAAAGACTACTACTGCTAGCATACCTGCATATCTGTTTATAGAAAACACATGTGTGCATGCTTGTGGTCAGTCAATAGTAAATAGGGCCTTAGTTGTCCATACCTGACAGATTGTGACCTTATCAATGCAAAACTTGTCCCATGAATTATGCATAAAGCTCCTGTGATATCTCCAGCTAAAAAAGTGACACCGGTGCACACAATGTTTTGTGGATATTTTACACTTTGATATTCACCTCTTTAATCCATCAATTATATACAGTTTGAGTCACAATATATGAAAGGGTTTTATTAATCCTTACTCATAGCATCATGTTTAAAATGAATACAATCTTAAAGTGCTATTGTTGTTACTTGGTTAACCTGTGTTTGTGTTTGGCACTTTTACAGACGGCAGCGAGGAGCAAAAATGGATTTGATAGTGCACTACATCGACCGACAGCGGGATAGGTTGTTTTGCACTGTGCCTGCAACATGTAGGTTTGTATGAGCATGGTGTCCAATTATCATCGTGTCCAAATAAAAGTTTTAGCTGATTGCATTGGGGTTAAAGCCAAATATTGGTCATTATATTATTTTATATATTATTTACATAAGACAGAGCAGTCTTCCTGCTGCAGGCCACATGGTCGTCACTTTGTACCCAGAAGGAAGCTTGACCCACACTCTCTTTTGTAAAATACTTTGTGTCTCGCTAAAACCATTCATTTAGCATTTAGAGTCATTCAATATCCTCTTTGTGTTTACTCCTCAGTGTGTTGTAGCTAGATTCATTTCTCTCAGATGTTCCCTTTGATCTTTGACCACAGATTTGGGGTCAATCTCTGACAAACGAGAGCTGCGAACATTCCACAACAACTCTTATTTTCCCTCCTCAGAGACCTCCTTTCTCAGCTTTACACTTCATTATCTGGTAGTCAGTGTTACCATTTGAAACAACACAAACTGCATTCTCCTGATTCTGTTAGTAGTGAATCGATTACTATAGATGGATGTAACAAAAGCAGGGAGAACAGTGAGTGTGGGTCTTTCGCTTTGCACTCACATTGTGCCTGTTTGCAGAGCTTGTCAGCCATGTCAAGGATGAGAAATGTTGCAGTGTGGTTTGTTACACACGCTACTGGCTCCAGCATTTCCGGCAACATTTCTCACTCAGCCTCCCTCACACCATCCGCTCGGCTGCAATAATCCCCTCTTTTTCCATCTCCTACACCCCGCCCCCCTCCCGCTCTCCCCCCTCCACTGACCACCAGAGTGCTCCTCTCCCGCTGCTCTCTCTGCCTTCTATTTATTCCTATGTATTTAATGTTTTTGCTGCCTCATGCTTAAAGCGGAAATCTATTGTTCCAGGAATAGATCTGCACAGCTTTCATACATGTTTTAAATTCAGTAACTATTTCCATTTAAGACAGGCTGACAATGTGAGTGTGTTTTTTCCCAATGTGATTTCATGTGAGTATCAAATTTAACAATAAAATGAATAAATCAAACTGGTTATGTATTCATTTCTTTACAACACCATGGTGATAATATTTTGAATCATGCAGAGGACAACTGTTCCCCAAAGATTTTGGCCTGGACTGGCGTGCTTCCTCATAGGACATCTGGTCACGTGACCCACGCTGCACACGCTCAGATCCGTGCTCTAATTGGCTGTGCACAAAAGCATCGCCATGGCAAATCAGAGTGCCACTCTCCTTTGAATAATAAAGCAGTGTTATGATTTAGGGCCCTTACTTATCTGGGAGCGAGGGCAATGAGAGCTGTTTAGAGCAGTGCGGGAGGTGACACCTGGATGCTACGAGGCTAATGATGGGTTGAACAAAGAAAACAAGGCCATTTTGCAAAACCAGAGCAGTGTATATTTTACCTCTGTCATTTTGTAGTACAGTACTGATTTGTTCAAATATCATAACAAATAAATCATTACCATAACAAGATATATTATAATAAAGCACGACATTGGTCACCATCATGCTTCAGGTGAGACCCCAATATATTTGAGTAATAAAACAAATGATTGTTTTACTATGTATACAATTTATTATTATGGTCTGATTACATTATACAAGTACAGCACATACCGTTTGTCTCTTTCTATTAGAACTCGGTTTCTTTGGCAATAACAGAAATGTCCCATCTTTAATTTATTATGTCCGTTTTATAATGTTATTGATTGCCTTAATAGTAATAATAATAATAATATGTTTATTGTTTTTTTCTATAGCAGACACTTTTTTCAAATGACATTATTCATTCACTCCTTACGTGCAGATTAAGTAAGTAAGTAAGTAAGTAAGCTTTATTTATATACCGCCTTTCAGAGACCAGAGTCACAAAGCGGTTTACAATTGTTAATTATGGGCACTTGTCCTCTCACTCCACACAGAGATGGGAGCGGGGTCGCCGAACAGGAGGCGCATGCCAGAACTATTGGACATATTTTTAGTGGTAGGGGAAACCGGAGTACCCGGAGGAAACCTACGCAGACACGGGGAGAACATGCAAACTCCACTCAGAAAGGCCCTGGTCCGGCGGGATTCGAACCCAGGACCTTCTTGCTGAGAGGCAAGAGTGCTATCCACTCAGCCACCGTGCCGCCCAAGATTAACTATTACTGTAGCCACAGCTGCCCTGGGGCACACTGACAGAAGTGAAGCAACTATCTGTACACAAGCCACAGTTTGAGAAACATTGTGAAGGTACTCAGTGTTGGAATGTTTGTGATGTTTTCTGGACAGTGTTCCAAGAGTGTGTGGCTCTTACAGAGAATCTGTTCAAATGTTGTCTTCCTAAAGGAACATGACAGTCCCCTCTGCTCTGAGCCCGAGTGCCTACACTCTGCTTCACATTGATACATTCTTGAAGAGCCGGCCCATTATTAGTTTTATACACAAGAACTATATAATTAAATTGAAATACTTATTCTGGCTGTGGATGTCTTGCCAAAAAACACAAAGGCAGTTTGGCACGTTACAGCCGCAGCTGCCCCACTGTGGTACCTCGTGTTCCCAGAGGTCTCCCAACAAAGTATTAACCAGTGCCTGCCCTGCTTAGCTTCTGACGGGATTTGGCTTTCACCTGCAGGTCTTCTGCATCACCAGCACAGGGTAAAAGGACATATATTTTCACTATAATCTGCCACTGTAATGGGATTATGTTCATCAACGTGCATTGTCTTTAGCAGATAAATAAATAAATAAATACAAAGAACTGTTCATGTCATCATTTATTTACAAATTCAAGCAGATTACAGTCCACAGTAAGATTCATAATCATATAAGTCAAATGATTTACATTGACATGCATTTTTTATGCCAGGACAATGTACAAACATTTAAGGCAGGACAGGACAGCCATGTATCATCAATGTCATGTGTTGATGCCGTTTCAGTCTGATCCATTTCTTCACAGCACATACAGTATACAGGAAGTGCTCGAAGCGGCATGATTCCATGCTCCCACCCACCAGGATGTGTACCCGTGTCTCCCAAGGCCCTGGACTCCCCCATCCCTCCGCCAGCACCCCCTTACCCCATTCCCACTATCCCCCTCCTCCCTCGCTTGCCTTGCTTCCTGATTCAGTGTGTAAAAGCACCCCCTGAATGATGGATTACTGTGTCACCGCAGCCTGCGAAGGATTAATTTGTTTCATTGATTTCTCTTTAGGCAGAATGCCAGCGTCTGCCGCTTCCCACCTTTTCCCCAAGACTTGCAGCTGTAATAGACGGTAATGGTCTAAGACAAATCAACCAGTTTCTTTTAAAAATAGCACCACATAATGCTCCCCCATACCCCGATGCCTGTGCTCGGCTTGGAAGCATATCAAGGAGGTTGGTGTCGTGCAATTCGATTCATCTTGGACTGCGTCTATATCAGTCTATCTGGCCCGTTATTTAGCAGTATCCCTCCTTATCCAGCACTGAGCCATAGGAGACCTTCTAGTTGCTCTAACAAAGCCATAAGTCTAGTATAGTTACAGCTACCTCTCAGGCTCCACAATGGATGGGTAATGACAGCGCTGTCTGGAGGGGGTTGTGGGAGTTGGGCCATTCTCTTCAGTAATGGAAGCATTTACCAGCGTTCCCTACACACCTGCAGGAATACCCAACTGCTAAGTATTGTGATCTATGATGAAGCCACAGGACCTTTGACTGAAGTGTTGTATGACATCACTACATAAGAGTGGATGTGAAATGTTTTCTGCTGTATGCTTGTGAGTACAGGTTGCAGTGATGTGAATCAATTAGTCTGTGTGCAGCACTCAGCATTATGAATAAAAAAACCAGCATTCCTGACATTTGCTGATTTAACAAAGACATAAGATGCAGCAACATCTTTACTACCCTGTCACAGCTTTGAAAGATGGGAAACCAAAACTGCCTGTAACATTAAGCACACACTACAGAATGACCGTCCCAGAACACTTTCCATTACCGGAAAGATTTATGAGCAGAACCACATCCATTAATCCATTGTTGATTTGCTGTGGCTGCCCTGCAGGGTTTGGGGATCTGATATCATATAGTGCTGAAACTTAGCCTGTTGCACAGCGAGAAGACTTAATCATCCTCAGCACGAGTCAAACCAAGTGAAAGGTAACTAAATATTTAACTACGTTTTGACACCAATCCTTCTAAATCCACAGCTGAACCGTGGTCATGTTTAAGAGTCATTTATTTAACAAAACATGCTCTTATGAACTCCTGAAAAGAGTAGCCCTGCGTTAAGGATTGCACATCTTCACCTGTACAAAAAATACATACAATCCAGATGGAATTGTACATTTTGCACAGTTTGATCTTAAAACATTGTTTCAAAGAGTCAAAGTAATCAAAATTACAAATACTATTTCTCTTGTTGAACATTGTTGGATTGTTAAATGTAAAGATTAAACCATATTCACCACGTGCAATGTTCCCTCCAGTCTCTTGGAAACAACCAAATAAATAAACGATTAACAAAAACTGTGGAACTACTTTAATATTTATATACTGTATTTCAAACTTTTCATCATTGTCATTTCTGTTTTCGATAAAAGCATTTTTCTTACATTTTGAAACTCAATCAAAATCAAACTGCACATTTTTGCCATTATTCAACTGGTGCATCGTTACATTAACTGTCTGACTCCTAAGCACAAATACAGCTTGCAGATATAAATAATAAGGATTTTTTTTAATAAACATGAATCCACGTTATTGATTAGTGTTGCTGAGATAGAGATGAAGCATTTTGTGGACATACTAAAAGATTCAATACATAAATCAATATCTCTATGCGACTTCCTCACCGGTAAGCCACAAAATTCCAGAATGATCATTTGTATACAGTGTAGTAAAGGGTGGGCAGCAGGGAAATCTGGGAAGAATCTAACTTTAGTTACAAAGCAGCTGAATTTGAGCGCTCGGGGACAGAC